TTGTTATCAGACAAGTGGCTTTCCTGTTTTTTTCCTCCACTCATCTCCTGTTTCAACTATTAAACAAAGAGCTTGTGGGTGTTGCAGCTACAGCAGGAATGAATCAGTGCATAGTATAAGACAAATCTTTCTCTAACTGTCTTTCACACTGAGTGTAGAAGAGGAAGACGGTTGTGACATGTGCTAAAGTTTGAAAAAGAGTGATTAATCAGAGGAAATTATAGCGCTTCTCAGTAATGAGCCACTTGAAGTGTTGAGAGAAACTTTTGTTTGCTCTGTATAATGACCCATTTACTGAGGTTGAATGCTGTTAAATATAACCAAACACACAAAAAAGCTACAGCTAGAGCCAGAATTCATGGTACAATTTAATAAGTTGTTGAAAAGTGTAATGGTGTGTTCACACCAAAAGTGTTTTGAGTATCAAAAAGGCATCCAACGCCTCAACTTGGATGATTGGGCACATTGAAGACAGTTGTGCGTCAACACAGTGTGTACAGATATGTGTGACTTTGTCAGTCCCTTGTGTGCAATGACAGATACAATTGATAGAGTAGCTTGGCTTTATTTGCTGATATGAGTGGAAGAAAAGTAGCTTTAAGCTGTTTTACAATTGAAAAAGTACACCATAAAACACCGGCCATGCAGTTATTTAATCAGAATTAGGATCCTTCTTTTAAATATTCTGCATTTACCATTATATTTATAGTTGCCTTTTCTAACCAAAAGTTTTTATTGATCAGTTTTTCTATGTTCTTTTTTATATGTCTGCTTATGTCTCCTTTAATCCCCAGCCAAAGACAGCTCACACTGAGCCTTGTTCTGCTGGAGGTTTCTTCCAGTTAAAAGGGAGCTTTCCTCCACATTGTCGCTGCATGCATGCTTGGTGTGAGGGATTGCTATTAACTGATTGAATTGTCTCTGTAAAGTGCCTTAAAATGACCTGTTGTGAATTGGTGCAAAAAATAAACTGAATTGGTTTGAATAATTGAGCTGAGTTGTAGCATTCGCACCCCAGAGACAGTTCCCTCAAACCAACCAAGCCCTCAGGGGTTTTCTGGCACCGTTTGCAGTGGTGGCAAAAAGCATTTTTTTGGCATATGCTAAAAACCTCAAGTACTAGAACATAAGATCAAATGTTTTTCATATTTGATCTTATAGACACCATAGATTTTGAATGTGAACTTTTTGCCTCCGACACTTAAAATGTGTTTGTTGTAATCACACCATGACAATTACAGGTTAGTCTGTGAAGGATTAAATTGAAAAGATGCACTGATCAGGCTTTTGCTGGACAATACAGATTTCCAGGTGTTCCATTTTTTTCCCAATGGTCTATAACCAAAATTAACTAAATATACAGCATGCTCCGTCATAACATCAGTAATGCCACTTGATCAGACATATTTTAGGTTCCCTAATGTAGAATTTAAAGCAGTTCTAAATAACCTTCAGGTTTAGTTTATTTTAGCTCACCCCCCCCAGCAAACAAAAGCTGTATTGTTTTGCCTGAAGTGAGAAAGCATTTCCCATGAGGACCAACATGGTAAAGATCATAGTGTGGTAAAATTCTGATG